GCCCCACCCAGGAAAGTGTAGGAAACTAATGGTGAGGCCTGTTCTCTCTTCCTGTCTGCCATGACGCTCTCGGTCATTAAGTGGCAATGGACAGATACAAACTGAGATTTGAGGGATTTTCTTGTAGTGTAGTCTGGCCCATCTTGAGGGATAAACCTACGAAAGCTGCCTCAGGAAACCCACCCAGGAGCAGGGTTGTTGACCGCTTGGCTCCACGCCCCGCTAGGCCCCATGGGTTTCCTTTGAATCCTGGTCTCTGCCGTTTCCTATCTCTGGGTAGGGCCCTTGAGGGCTTCATGCTTCTGCTTTTTCATCTATAAAATAGCAACGATTGCATTCACTGTGAAAATTACATAGGTTAATTTATGGGAGAAGCTTGGAAAGTTGCCAGACACGGAGTAAGTGCTCAATAAATATTAGCTTTATTATTAATATTTCTTCAAAAACAAACAACAGTTGGATGTCACAGGTGGCCTGGATCCCTCCTTAGGAAAAAATACCATCCAGAGGAAACCTCCCTGGCATCTGCCTTCAGGGTATTGTAACAAGGGATGCAAGATCATGCGTACCTCTTGGCGGAGCCGGGGAGCGACATTAATGTGCTTAGCTTTTAGTTTTCCCTAAGTTTGGTAAGAGGCCTGGTTTAGAGAGAATAGTGTCTTCTTTCATAAAAACAAGGGTACGCACAAAGTGACCAGTGACAGCCACACCAGATGGAGATGAGAACGCCACAGAATGTGTGGCGCAGCTAAACAGACAGCTGGAGCCATGCCCAGTGCAGGTGTTGTGTTGCTGGATTTCTTTGGTTTCGGAGACAGGGTTTCTCTGTAGCTCTGGCTGTCCTGGAACTTGCTCTGTAGACCTGGCTGGCCTTGAACTAGGAGATCTACCTCCCTCTGCTCTTGAGTGCTGGGATTAAAGGCGTGCGTCACCACCACCTGGCTCAGATGTGTGTTTTTAAGAAGTAGGAGATGCTGATTTTCAAGTGTGACTTGTTTTGTTTTAAGATACGCTTTAGGGCAGTGGTTTTCATGCTATGGGTCACGACCCCCTTTGGCAAACCTCTGTCTCCAAAAATATTTACACGACGATTCATAACAGTAGCAAAATTGCAGTTATGAAGCATCAATGAAACCGTTCTATGGTTGGGGGTCACCACAACATGAGGAACTGCATTAAAAGGTCACATTATCAGGAAGGCTGAGAAACACTGCCTTAGGCCAACAGATCATGTCTTCTGGACAAGACATGGCCCATGCCCTTGTGAACTGTCCGCAGCTATGGTCACCTGTAGAAGACTGAGCCCAATAATATTCCATAATGGATATGGAGGGGCACATGAGGCCACACCCCTCCCTCAGGAACGGTTGGCCTGATGGCTGGTGTGTGGCGGGGAGAGCCATAGTCCTCAGTGGTGTAGTCACTGTTGGGCTGCTCTTGTGCCAATAAATAACTGCACATACCCAAGCTCACAGAAACAGTTCTAATTAAACCCGGTGGTCAAAACAAACAACACAAAACCCTGAGAGTAGGAGGGATTTGTTAGAAAGAAGGGGAAGTTAGTTGGGGTTTCTACGGCTTCGATGAAGCACCATGACCGAAAGGCAAGCTGGGGAGGAAAGGGTTTACCAGGCTTACACTTCCACATCGCTGCTCACCACTGAAGGAAGTGAGGAGTACTCAAACAGGGCAGGATCCCGGAGGCAGGAGCTGATGCAGAGGCCATGGGGGGAATTGTTACCATGGCTTGCTGGGCTCACCTTCTTAAAGAGCCCAGGACCAGCAGCCTAGGGATGGCACCACCCACCATGGGCAGAGGCACAGGAGAAAGTAATAGAGGGTGAATATGATCAAAACACATTGTATACTGTATTCAAATGTCAAAACATGAATAATTTTTAAAGGTCTGGATGGAGTTGTGTTTTCATGTCTGTTTTCATGAGCATTGATATGGGCTGGTGTTTAAATATCCACAACACTAAATATCTGGGTGCTTGTTTTGGTGTGATTTGCCAGGACCTCAAGAGACACCAGCCCAAAGATGTCCCTTGCCTCCATCTCCTGCAAACAGAAAGCTTTTCTGGCTTTGAACTGACAAGATCTCAGGGCCAGCACCCTCTCCGAGTCCACCAGACCCTGGTTCCCATCTGAGCTCAAAGCAGTGTGGGTGGTCTCAGCAGATCTGGGGGAAACAAGCACGTCCCAGGCTTGGCCTTGCAACAGAGGTAGAGGCGCGCACACGTGTGTGTGTGTGTGTGTGTGTGTGTGTGTGTATGTGTGTGTGTGTCTGTGTGTGTGTGTCTGTGTGTCTGTGTGTGTGTCTGTGTGTGTGTGTCTGTGTGTCTGTGTGTGTGTCTGTGTGTGTCTGTGTGTGTGTGTGTCTGTGTGTGTGTGTGTCTGTGTGTGTGTGTCTGTGTGTGTGTCTGTGTGTGTGTCTGTGTCTGTGTGTGTGTCTGTGTGTGTGTGTCTGTGTGTGTGTCTGTGTGTGTGTCTGTGTGTGTGTGTGTCTGTGTGTGTATGTGTGTGTGTCTGTGTGTGTGTCTGTGTGTGTGTCTGTGTGTGTGTCTGTGTGTGTCTGTGTGTGTGTCTCTGTGTGTGTGTCTCTGTGTGTGTGTGTGTGTGTGTGTGTGTGTGTGTGTGTGTGTGTGTGCGTAGGGTTTGCCTTGATTCTCCTCCATCTGCTCCACACCCCTCTTACTATCAAGAAGGCACAAATTTGGGGTGTCTTGTAAATTAAGAGCTTGGGGAGATGGCTCAGATAGTAAAGTGTTAGCTTAAGGGCATAAGGGCTTGAATTTGATCTCTAACATCCACAGTTGCTTTTTTGTTTTGTTTGTTTTCATATCTCAGCGGGAAAGATGGCTCAGCAGTTAAGAGCAATGGCTGCCCTTCCAGAGGTCCTGAGTTCAATTCCCAGCACCCACATGGTGGCTCACAACCATCCGTAATGGAATCTGATGTCCTCTTCTGTCCTACAGGCGTACATACAAATAGAACACTCATATAAATAAATAAACACATCTTTTTAAAAAGTATCTCCGCTTAGCAGGGGCATACTCCACCACTCCAGCTCTGGGGAGTGGAGACAGACAGATACAGGGAACTCTGTGTTTATCCTAGCTGAATCTGTGAGATCAGTGAGAGACCCTGCTTCACCAACCACAGTGAAGAGCAATTGAGGAAGATTCCTGATGCTGACCTCTGGCCTCCATACGCACGCATACACTCACTCATAGCAAAAACCTTTCTAGAAATTTAATGGTCTGGAGAGATGGTTCAGAGCAGAGGTTAAGAACACTCACTGCTCTTCCAGAAGAGTCAAGTTCAAATCCTAGCACCAACACCAGGCAACCCACGGACAACCTGTAACTACTGTTCCAAGGGATTCAACAACCTCCTGGGACCCTGTACACACACAAACACACACACGCGCACGTGTGTGTGTGTGCATATGTGTGTATATATGTATATGTGTATACATAGATCATAAAGTAAATATTTAAGACAATAACTGATATATAATATGTTGTGTATCTACGGGGTGCAATTTGAATTATTGACACATGTTTCACCCTACGTTCATATTTCATCCTATGTTCACCCAAGAAAGACTTAGTACCTGTCACTGCACACATTTCTTGGCAACAAAAACTACTCTTCTAGCTGTTTTGAAATGTACGATACAAAGAAGCTAGGTGTGGTGGTGCATACCTGTTATCCCAGCACTCAGGAGTCTGAGGCAGGGGCATGGCTATATATGTGAGGCCACTCTGAATTTCATTGCAAGTGCCAGGACTTCATAAAGGCCCTGTCTTTAAAATAAGGGTATACATTAGTGCTAATATGGTCCTCCCACTGTGAGATCCAATGCAGAACTTACTTCTTGATCTCTGAGTCTGCACCCATGGACCCTTTTCTCCCCATACGCCTTCCTCTAGTAGAGGCCCTCGAGAAACTGGCTACAGCACCGGCATTTATTGTGGCCCCCACCTCGTCCCCCCCATACAACCTTTGTCCCTTTCGGATCCATTCTTTTGCCTGTTTCCACCAGTGGCCAGTTAGCAGAAGTCCTCCTGGTGGACGGCCCTCACAATTTCCCGTTGTTGTTAATATTTATTTGATTATTTAGTTAGTCCATCCGTTTAGGCCAGGCTGGTCTTGAGCTCATGATTCTCCTGTTTCCATCCCCTGAATGCTGGGGTTATGAGTGTGCTCCTGGAAGATTTTTAACTCTCATGACTTCGGGGTTCCTCTCAGACTGCCACCTTTCCCCATCCAGTGGGGGAAGTATGCCAGGGGAACCCATAAATTCATCAGCCAGGGCAGACCAGCGGGAGCCTTTAAAGACATCTCCAGCATCTGGGACGCTGACACCAGGCATAGCCTTTAAACCTTTTAAACATTTTTTCCCTAGGGTGAGTCAGCCTCTTATGGGGGGGCGGGTGGAGAGGGGGGGTCAAGTAATAGCCAGGATCCTACTCAGAGAGTCATGTGTGGCCCAGTCCATCAGCATTTCCGAATCCCCTGGATCCCTTCCAGGGAAGGTCCACACACCAGCAGCCAGCATCATAGACTTGCATCTCCGGATGTCTCAATTCTCTGGTAGCGACTGAGTATGGAAAGTGGCTCTGAAGGATGTGATTTTAAGCAACTCCACACCGTAGTGTGCGAACACTTCACAGGCCTGTCAGAGTTTCTGGCTGCCTTTGTCTTTCCACCTGGCTCTGGCCAAATGGAACTGGCAGACCTTCCCCGTTCCAGTTGGCCCCCAATTCCAGCCCCAATCCTAGTCTAATTTCTTGCACGTGGTCTGAGGACTTAGCCACACACGAATGCAAGGGGAAAAGTTGGGTTTTAATAACATGGGAGAGACAGAGAAGCAAGGACCTTCTCCGAGTAATGAGACGCGGACAGTCTAGTGTCCTGGAAGAACACAACTGTAACCAGAGATGTCCCCCCTTGACTCGTGCTCATTAATAGAGAAAACACTTGCTGCCACGTTTAACGACAAAGCTTTGTAATATGCCTGTAACCAGCGCAGAACAAATTAATGCAGTTCAGGTGGCAGCAGGGAGGCAGCCGACAAAGCTCTTGTTCCCACCTTAGCCCTTCCGGCAGGCAGGGCATCTCTGAGACTGAGGACAACAGGTCCTTGATGAAGGCTCACACCAAGGCAGGGGGATCAGCCATTTCTTAATCTCTTGTAGGGATCCATTAAGCAAGAGGCAGCCTAAAGTAAAAGGTTCTACCAATCATCTTCAGATGTTTCCAAATATTTTAAACCTTGCAAAAGCAAAAATGGGAGTCTAGAGGTACAGGCAAAAGTCCATCCATTTGTGCTTCCCAATCTCTGGTGACCAGTGGCACCCAGCTGGGCCTCAGGCAGCGGAGGACTCTGGGCAGCTTTGCCTTCTTATGGCAATTGCATCTCTCTGGGATAACACCAGCCACACCAAGACCGGTCTTGGTTGCATGGTGGGTTGACCCAGTGTCTCTTCGCGTAAGTTGACGTCTCTGCCTTCTAGACTCTGTGAGACTTGGAATGTGGCTTTGCCTGTGGACTGGGGAGAGACAAGGGGGTCTTGGCGCTCTCCCTTGATCTTCACAACAGTCTTGTCATGGAGAGCTCTTATTTCACTCATTTAAAAAAAATGAAGGCAAAATTCAGATTATAGACTAGTCACTGTTGAAAGAGTACTGCCATCTCCAAGGCGGGGAAACAGAGACTCCAGCCAGTGACTGGAGAGCCAGAGTTCTCCAGGACAACTCTGGTGGTCCCAGGTAGGCTGGCTCACTCACCTTTGTGTTCCCAGAGCTGGAACTGAACGGGTACACAGTAAGCAATAGCCGAGTGAATGAGATGTGGTGTGAGCGGCAGAAGGTTCTGGAGCCCCCCAGCCCTTCTACTTCATAATGCATCATAGCAAAGTAGGTTGGTAGGGAACCCTGGTCACCAAGGGAACTGGCCACTTGTGAAGACACATGTCCCTTTCTCTATTGTGCTAGTCAGCCTTCGTCAACTTGACATGAACTGTAGTCAGCTGGGAAGATCCATCAGGTGGCCCATGAGCATGTCTGCGGGGGCATTTTCTTGTTAAGAGCCTAGCCCACTTGGTCAGTGTCACCTCTGGGCAGGTGGGCTGGGTTGTATACGGAAGCAAGCTGAGCAAGCCAGTAAGTAGTGTTCCTCCATGGTCTCAGCTTCTGTTCCTACCTCCAGGTTCCTGTCTTGTGTTTCTGCCCCGGTTTCTAAGCTCTGTTCATCCCTGACAGAGTTCCCTGTATGTGTCCCTCCACAGGTAGGACCACTGTCAGCTCTGCCCTTACTGTGTCTGTGACTAAGTCACTCAACTTCTCTGCGTCTCAATTATTTCATCTGTTAAAGAGACCAGGAATAAGGTTCACTGTGTGGCTGGACCAGACCAAGTCTGCGCAAAGACAGCCCGATGGTTCCGCCGCTTGAGTGTAACTTCCGACAGGGTCTTCCATGATGTATACACAGGCATTCGCTGGACTGGACTCTCTTTGTGTGCTTGAAATATATACATTTTCCTTAAATAAGGGGACTCACGTAGATACTGCAATAAGGCATAAAGACCATTTCTCTTAAGATGTCTTCTTCTTTTTCTTCTTCTTCTTCTTCTTCTTCTTCTTCTTCTTCTTCTTCTTCTTCTTCTTCTTCTTCTTCTTCTTCTTCCTCTTCCTCTTCCTCTTCCTCTTCTTCTTCTTCTTCCTCTTCCTCTTCCCCTTCCCCTTCTCCTTTTCCTTCTTCATCTTCTTCCTGTGCACTTCTGCCGTGGCTGAAGGCAAAAGACATAGGTCCTTTCCTTCTGCCTTTATGTGGCCGCCAGGGATCAAACTCAGGCGGTCAGGTTTCATGGCAAGTACTTCACCAGCTGAGCCCTCTCCCAGCCCATGAAGACCTATCTCTAAGGGAAATGAGGGAGTGCACACCCCTAGGGGCTCCGAGCAGTCTGGGAGGGCAGGGGGTGGGTCCCATGGTGGAGGGGGCGGGGAAGTCAAATCTCCTCTGAGTGCACAGATGTGTGGCAAGGCCTCAGCAGCTGGGAGTCAAATCAGAGTTAAACCTGCAAGATGTGGGGATCCAGAGGAGCCAGGAACCGGAAAGAACGTCCTCGCTTCTAACATTTCTGGTAGTCCATCCCATCCCCCCACCCACGCTGCTTCTCTTTAGTTTCCTCTGTTTGGCTGCCCACAGTGCCCACGCTATCACAGTCCTATAGGCACACCTTTCTCCCGGGTCCTTTATTTTTACCTCGGAATACTTAAGAAGCCTCTAGTGCCTGTCCCATTCCGACTGTCCCAGGAAATGGTCCTCTGGATGCCTCCAGCAGAGCTCCCAGAAGGATCCAGGGGTCTTCTCACTAAATATTTCCCAGGTATGTTAAGAGGTGTCCGAGTGATTCTCCAGGCCAGCAGAATGGGAGTGAAGACAACACAGGCCACACCCCAGGGGAGCTGCAAGAGCCGACACACCATTGGCTAAGTTTGCTGCCGTCTGTCCTTCATCTGCCTCCCTAAGTGAAGTTTCATCGGGAAAAGCCCCAGTGCCCAGTGATGGACGTGGAACAGGATCAAGAAAGCAGGCTTTGGCCAGGCGTTGGTCACTGGGGCGGCAGAGGCAGGTGGATCTCTGTGAGTTCAAGGACAGCCTGGCAAACAGAGAGAGAGAGTTCCAGGACAACTTCCAAAGCAATACAGAGAAACTCTGTCTCTAATGTCCCTTCCCCCAAAAGAAAGAAAGGGAGAGAGGGAGAGAGAGAGAGAGAGAGAGAGAGAGAGAGAGAGAGAGAGAGAGAGAGAGAGAGAGAGAGAGAGAGAGAGAAAGCAGGCTTTTTGGGGGGGCTGTTTGTTACCACAGCATGACTAAACTGTCTGAGACAGCTAAAAGCAGTTCCCTGGCCTGGCCATTCCCAATGGCCGACTGTCCTTTCAAGAATTTCTAGAGATAGAAGCAGAGGGTCATCAAGGGAGTCCCAGGTTGAGAGGCAAGATCTTCTGTGGGACAATATAAAGAGTTTGGCATTCGTCAGGTTCACCTCCTAAAGGGAAAGATGCCTCGTGCCCAGCTGTATAGGAGTCTGGCTAATCTTACCAGGTCCCAGAACATGTTGAAATTCCTTGCATTCTTTGTTCAAGAAGCGACCCACGGTCCTTTATGCCAGGGCACCCTTCCCCCAGCTCATGCAGTAGTAAATGTATGCATTTAAAATGCATCTTGTCTGTTTCTTCATGAAGTGACAAATGGAAAAAATGCCTACATCCTAAATTAGCAGTTTAGAAAATTAACATCAAGCCAAGACCCCCTGCCCTTATCACCCAGTTGGCTAATTCTGGCAGGATTCGAGAGGGCAGATCTCGGCTGAGGTCCTGAGCTACACAGGCTGTTTTCCAAAGTGAATGTGACCATGCATGTGACCCTTGAAACCTTTGGTTAGAGCACCAGACAGCAGAGGGACACCTGGGTTAAGAGAACCCACTCCCTGCTATGGTTTAGATCAGTGGTTCTCAACCTTCCTGATGCTGTGACCCCGGTGCACAGTTCTTCATGCTGTGGTGGCCCCCAACCATAAAATTATTTCATTGCTACTTCTGCTGTTATGCTACCGTTATGAGTTGTAGTGTAAATATCTGTGTTTTCCAATGTGAAAGGGTTGTTTGACATCCCCCCCCCAGGGGTCGCAAACCACAGTCTGAGAATCACTGGTTCAGAGCTTGTTGAATAGTCCAAAGGTCATGAGCTAACGGCTGATGCAGCAGCCTATTGTGTAAGGGGGATGGGGGTCCTATGGGCAGAGTCTAACGGAGGGAAGCTAGGACACCATGCGTGGGGTGCCCTCAAAGGGGATGTTAGGCTACCCATTCCTTCCTCTCTTACTTTCCAACCATGAGGGGAGTAACTTTATTCTACTTTGTGCTTCCTTTAGGGACTCAAAGCAATAGAACTACCACCACCCCAACTCCCAAGCCATCACCAAAGCCTCAGAAGCCCTGAGCCAAAATAGGTCTTTGCCCCTTCCTGAGTAGTTTATCCTGCCTATTTGCCACAGTACTGGAAAGCTTCCTGCCGCCACCCAAGAGAGGAATGGAGTTATCTCCCTGTGTTCCTCATAATACAGTAAGGGGTTTCGACGGGACTGCACGGAGGGGTCAACGTTGTGTCCCTTGCTGTGGGACCCAATGGACTGATATTGAGACCAGGGGCGTGTTGTTTAGTAGGAAGGCTGCTGCAGTGGCCCCACTCCCACAATTTGTTGGGAGAAAAGATATCCGAAACATGATCAAGAAAGCAGGGTTGTTTTTTTAATTAATTTATTCTTATTACATATAGTGTTCTGTTTGCATATACACCTGCGTGCCAGAAGATGGCACCAGACCTTGCTAGGAATTGAACTCAGGACCTCTGGAAGAGCAGCTAGTGCTCTTAACCTTTGAGTCGTCGCTCCAGCCCAAGAAAGCAGATTTTTATCATGGAGTGGGTATGGTCCAATTGGTCCAAAGGTCCTAACAGGAGGTCTGTATGGGATAGATGACCAAACCAGGAGCTGTGCCTGCTTCAGGAAATGCACTACCCTTTTCAAAAGATCTGGGAGTGTCTGGGAGCTGGAGGCATCAGGATTTTGACTTTGAGACTACCATAGGCTATACAGAACATTCCAGCCTGGCCTCTATAAATGAGAGTCTCTCCCCTTCCTTCCCCCTGCCCCATTCTGTCTCTCTGTCTGTTTGTCTGTCTGTCTGTCTCTCTCTCTCTCTCTCTCTCTCTCTCTCTCTCTCTCTCTCTCTCTCTCTCTCTCACACACACACACACACACTGAATTCAAATCTTTTCATGAGTACCCCAGAATGTTAATGAAGTCCCTTGCTAGGCTCTGAGAATGGCTACTAACCTGGGTTCTGGGGATCTGAACTCAGTCCCCATACTTGCACAGCACACACTTTGACCACTGAGCCCCTTGCTCAAATTTTCATGTCTTCAACACCAATGGTGACCAACTGTAAATGATGTGTGAGATATGACTTAAATTCCAAATAAGCTGCGTCTATACTAATTTCACTTTAAGTAAGATATCCCTTGAGAACGCATTAATTAGCAGACTGTGAGGTATAGTCTGCCACACAGCTTAGCTCATACAGCTGCTGCTGCCCAGGCCTGGGCGTTACTACCTGCATCTCCACATGGGAGGATGCTGGCAAGGATGGACCCAGGCTGCCAGGGTGGGTCAGCCTGACCACACTGTCCCTACAGAGTCTTTAATCTAAGCCTCAGGGTCTCTATTTTCCAAACTGCGGGCATGCCTTGTGGTTCATTCAAAGACAACCACAGGTGCCTACTGATGGGCCAAGTCAGGATGGCTTCATGATCAACACCACGGCCTTCAGCATCCAGACTGGCTGGGTGCAAACCCCAGCAGAATTGCCCGCTAGTGATCCGTGGGTGTACATGCAGGCAACTTTATGTTCAGCACGTTGTCTGGTATGTAAGCATACTTGCCCTTGGACTTGAGACCTGGTGCAAGACATCAGTTCTTCCCGGAGAAGACAGGAGAGCCTTCTATGACCCTCCATCAGCACATTTGGAGCTAGCTGTGCTCTTTGTCCTTGACAGGTTGTTTGTACATGCACAATCTAGACTCTGCCTGATTTCTGATTGGTACAGATCTAAACATCTCTCCTGACATCCACCTCTGCCTCCTGGCCCTTGCTGTCCTCTCTGAGAGCTCCTATAGCCAGTGGCCAGACAGCACATTAACCTATGTCCTACCCAGCAGTGTCAGGGTTGCTCTGAGATGTGGACATGTGTTTTCTCCGGAGGGGGGCTGGCTGGCATGCCTTACACAGGGAGACACTAGAGACTGACTCATCGGCC